GATTGATGTTTTTTTATTTTCACGGTCGAAATATGATACCACAGCCGGAAAACAGTAGGAAGCCGTCACCATTTCCCGAGTTGTTCTACTCCTAGAGCTTTAATTCCTGATATAATAACCCCTGTCAATTCTGCGCTGGTATGTCGCCAATGAATAATATAGAATATCTCTTTGTAGAGACGTATACCTAGGTACGACACTTAAATCTGAAATTATTGAATAACAAGTATAAGTGGATTGATTTGATATAACAAACAATCGGGGGCAATAAATTATAGTAAATACTTTTATTTAATATATATAGATATGAAATCTCTACTTAGTTTATCAACAGAAATTACGTTGTGTACAATAATAGCTATCTTCCTTGCTTTGAAGTGCTTTTATATTAAATTTTAAGACTCCATTGAATGGATAGCGCGATCATTTTTTAGTATCACTACACGTGTATGTGTGTATTGTGCAATATAGATAAATATGAGATTAATCCATGAATGCAGATCATAAAACTTAAAAACTTAGAAATTGAGAACATTTCGAAAAGATTTCATTACACATTGACACAAGTTCACCCTATACATTATACGATGAACCTTGGGCCTTAAATTTACCTTGTAGCTTGAATGCTTATAGTCAGAGAGCTATCATTATTGACTCGTGATATAATCTACTATTTTACTAATTTAAATAGTTCAATACACAAGTGACAAGTTACAGTTATTTATTATACCTACAAGACGGTAAAGGGGGTTCGTTAACTTAGCACCACCATTTCAAATTACTGATTAAAGATAGATTGCGCTAGAATCTCTATAGCTAGCGCCACTTTGAGTTCAGCTAGCGCCATTATAGATTTTGCAGAAAATCCCTTGACTTTCGGGGGGTGCTATATTAACGCTAGCACCACCATTGCGTCCGATCATTTCCAAAAGCAAGCGCTGTGTTCGTCAGACCTAGCGCCAACTAGCGCCACAAATTTTATAGCTAGTGCCACCCCCCAATAGGGTGGGGAGCAATTTTTCCTAGCAGCACCACTTTGTCTTTTCGGGTAAAATTTTTACGTTTGGTGCTCTGCTGATCTAGCGCCAGCTAGCGCCACTAATTTTAGAGCTAGTTTTATAATTTTGCGGTGTCTGTCCGTCTGTCCGTTAGCACGATATCTCGATAGCGAATTTACCGATTACTATGAAATTTTGTAGATGGATTCTTTATCACATTTGTAGATCGGAGTTCGTGAATTGGCAATATAGCCCAAAAAATAAGGAAGGCCCTTTTGACATCTCTGTGAGTTATGAACCGAATTTACAGTGCCCTTTTCGCATCTCGACCATTTACAAACCGGATTGAAAACTTTCTTATTTATGGAAGCATTTAACAGAAATTTGATACATAGCCACTTGGAATAAAAGCAAATTTAACGCCAGTTTCAAAATTTGGTTTTGTGCATCATGTGCGGTGCCAATTTTCTTATTTATGGAAGCAATTAAATGAAATTTCATACATATACACTTTAAATAAAAGCAAAACTAACACCAAGTTCAAAATTTGGTTTTGCACATGCTGTAGCCATACCCAGGAGCTCGTTTTCTATATTTATTTACACGTCGATGCGAAAAGGGCACTGTGACTGTTGATAGATTAGGCTCAACTTTTGGAATTGCGTGTTATATAGCTAAAGCTATACGAATATTGAATTTCATGCAATTCGGTTCAAAACTCACGTAGATGTCAAAAGGGCCTTCCTTATTTTTTGCGCTATATTGCCAATTCACGAACTTCGATCTACAAATTTGATAAAGAATCCAACTACAACATTTCATCGTAATCGGTCCATTCGTTATCGAGATATTGTGGTAACGGACAGACGGACAGACACCGCATCTGGGATGGTCAAACTCTTTACCATATTTAAACCCGAATGTGCAAATCTGTGTCTCTTAGGGAGGAAATAATTCCTGTTGAATTTTAATTTTGCATCCTTTATTTTTTGGATTTGGAGTTCTCCGAAAGAAAAAAGTTTGCGAAAAATACTAAAATTTGTATTTAAAGTATTAAGTGCAAATATTGAACAATCCCTTATTTATAAGTAAAGAATGTATGTTTATTTATTTGTTTACTTATAGAATCCTTTATGAATGCGCAAAAGTTGTAAATTAGTCACATCAAGCGTTTACAGGCGCGTCAATTGTGTAAAGTTTGGTATATCTGTATTGTTAAAAACAACACCTTTAGATAGTAGTCGACGCGACGTACATAGGTATATAATTTATCGGGAGTAAATACACAAGAGCTTGATTTTTAATCGGATAATTTTATTTTTACACGAAAGTTTTGTTGCCACCGAAAAAACTCGAGACCAAAAGTGTGATAAAATCGCGACAGTTTTAGCTGGAGCGATTTTATTAATATTATCCTTTTGATCGAGAGTTTTTTCCAGGAGGCAACAAAATTTGAGTGAATTAAAAATAAAATTATCCTGACTTAAAACCAAGGTCGAGTGTATTTTAGGGAGATTAATAAAAGACAGTTAATTTTACAACCACTACATATTTTACGCATTCCTACACGCATTTTTATCGCTGTTAAAAAGCTACGTGGCGTTTAATCAGATAAAAAATCATCTGATTGGTTAGAATTTGAAACAATCACCAAGCTGATTGGTCGTATATTAATGGAGTGTATTAATCATATAAAATACATATGCCTTATGGTTATTATTTGCACCATTAACAAATATGCTGATTGATTTAACGACTTTATATAGGTTATGAGTAGGTACGTTCGTTGAAATTTTCAAATTTTGCACTGCGCTGTGTTCT